TTTTTTTTTGAAAATAAATATTCTAAAAATATTGTTTTTTAATATAATTTTTTATAAATATTTTATGAAATAAAAAATAATAATTTTAAAAGAGTTCAAAATATAAAATTGATTTAAAACTGCAAACTAGCTTATAAATATAAACTAGTTTTAAATTGAATCGAAATCATTTTAGCAGTTAGTTGAATTTTTATTAAAATAATTATTATAAACTGAATAAACCTATAAATATGGTTTAGTTCAGTACAGTTATGAACCATGAACACTCATAAATAAAATGCTCTTAATTTACTGTCTTGTTATATATATATATATATATATATATATATATATATATATATATATATATATATATATATATATATTTGTCTTAAAAAACATATATATCAAATGAAAATTATGTAATATTTAAAAAATTTATCTACCATATAAAGAAATTTTAGTATTTGAAAAAAACCTTATTTACCATTTTCCCTACCCTTGCCACCTATGCGAAAACGGTATATAATGTTGTCTTTTACTATCCCTATGGTAAAAATGGAACGTATCGTTACTTGGCCAACTAAATAACTTTTGCAAAATACATTATCCGGAGTTGAAATATAAACTACTAAAACAAGCTTTTTGTAATGCTTCAACTGAACTGAAGAAGGAAGTTAACCATGAGGATGTAATTGATTGTTTCTGCTGTAACATAACACACGCCTCCTGATATGTCACATCCACCGGGTTCTATTGCTTTCTCTTCCCACACAACCTTTCTCCTATTCCTCTCTCTCTCTCCTCTCTCTCTCTCTCTCTCTCTCTCTCTCTCTCCTCTCTCTCTCTCTCTCTCTCTCTCTCTCATCTCTCTCTCTCTCCTCTCTCTCTCTCTCTCTCTCTCTTCTCTCTCTCTCCTCTCTCTCCTCTCTCTCTCTCTCTCTCTCCTCTCTCTCTCTCTCTCTCTCTCTCTCTCTCTCTCTCTCTCTCTCTCTCTCTCTCTCTCTCTCTCCTCTCTCTCTCTTCTCTCTCTCTCTCTCTCTCTCTCTCTCTCTCTCTCTCTCTCCCTCTCCTCTCTCTCTCTCTCGTCCTTTTTCCCTGCTTCTCTCTTTTCTCTTTCTCAAACTTTTTCTTTTTCTCTTTCTATATCGTCTTTTCACTTTCTCATCCTTCATCTCCTTTCCCTTACATTGCAATTCTACACATTCAGTTTCAGGTTTATCAATCAACAATGACGGTGTAAGCTTACATTATAGAAGCAGAAATGATGACAAAGTCCAATCCGATGTCCTCTCCAAAGCTAGAGAATCATGCTACAAGGAACTCTCTTTCTTCTCGATTGGTTTCTACGATTTATGCTTTATCATTATATTTGTTCTAGTATATTGATTTTTCTGTGCATTGAACCAGGCTCGTCGTACTTTCTTCTCGTGCCTTAAAAAAGGATGTCAGAAGAAACCAACCGAGATTATGTCCT